AATTGGAGTATGCATCATAGACTTGTACCTACTTAGCCCGTCTAGTATCGATTTTTTTTTATTTTGATTGAATCCAATATGCATGTTAAATTTTTTATTCCATATATTTCTATAAGGTTCCCCAGCAAGTTCAGTAAAAAAAGGTGGCTGAATTTATTGAATTAATGTAATTTTTCATTATTACCCTTTGAATTAGTTAAAAAAGTGGTTGAAGGCTGGATTAGTTGTTATTTTTAATATAAATAAAAAGGGTAAAATAGGCATTGGGAGTAAAATTCAAATAATGATTTGACTATGGTACACTTAACATTGCATAAAAAATTTAGAAGGGCACCCAGTGAGTGATAGGTCAGACACAGAAGGTTAAAGTTAGGTGGGCATAATCGAACTTACAAAGAAATTGGAAAAAATTTTACAATAAAAAATTTACGTCAAAAAAATCATACCCCATGTAATTTTGCATCCGAAAACTTACATGAGATATGACTTTTTCGGATGTAAAATTTCAAAATTTTGATGTCATATTCCATATAAAATTTTCTAATAAAATGATGAAAATTATATTGAGAAATTTGTATCGTAAAAATACAAATGTAAATGAAATAATTGAATTTTTTTTCAAAAAAAGGCGTGTTAGACACATTTATTTAAGATGCATGTTTAACGTTGTTTTAACTATTTTCGACATCTGTTTGGACTATTCAATATGCCTATAATGTAGTTCTCAAAATAAGTTTTGAGATAACATAAGCAATTTGTATATTCGATTAGCGTAAGATTGTCGGAAAATTTTTAAAATTAGCATGTTATCGAATTTTCGAAATACTAATTTCGAACGGCTTACTTTGACAAGTCGTAACATTTTGCTACGATTAATAGTTTTGTACGCTATTAACGACATATGAAACTAGACCATGAGTACTTCGAAATGGTATTAAGAATGCAATATTTCGATTTTGTTTTACATCCCATAATGATTTCGAAAATTGAAACATAAACATAGACAATTTAATGGTGAAAAAAAAGGGGAGTGAAGTTGGGGGGTCACGTGACCCCCCAGGCCACCCCCTGCATCCCCCCATAGACCTACGTGACGGTGCAAAAAATCAATTTTTCGAGTGAGATAGCGCTTTCAAACTGGCTTAGTTTATAACCTAAAGCACACCTGATACAAATGCCCATCCTCAACTGGG